GCAATGCGCGACGGCATCATCGCGTACCTAGGTACCTATGCGTTTCATTTTAGAATAATAACATAAACTCAAATCTCAAACGGCAATTGTGAACTTCGTGCCGCAATAGCTTAGCAATGAGTAGCTGCGCTGAGTGCCGCGGGTTCGAATCCCCCACGGAACAAATATTTTGTATGGACTACAAATAGTTGTTCCGGGTCTGGATGTTTGTTCTTATGCAATTTATATTTGTAAACTGCCTCCACGATACTGGAGAAAATCGGGGATAACGTATTTTAAAAAGAGAAAGGAGAGAGAAAGCAAATTGGTGTTATTGTAACTTAGAATCTGCTGTGTGAAACGTAATTATTATGAACCCAATTTATGTGCTTAGTTGTTATGATGAAAGTTCTTATGTGAACTTAAGTAGATGTTGTTATTATATAATAATTCCATTGATTTGTTTTTACCTACTTTTTAACCGAATTCGAAAAAAGCAGGTGGTTCTCAATTCATTGGTTTTTGTTTATGTATGTTCTGTCCCCCGATTTCTCGAATATGCCTGAACCGATTTGGATATATTTTCCAGATAATCCCACGGTAATCGACGATGATCAGATCAGGATCTGATGATGGGATCTTGGAGAAATCGGGGGCACATCAATAAATGACAGCAAATCAACCGCGATTGCTGCTATCGCCTATCTATGCATTCTTTACGCAATCACACAATATAATATCACGCCTGTACCCACTAAAGGGACATAATTCTAAACTAAAAACGGTAACATAAAAAACTTTTTTTTGAAAAAACTATAACAATTTCCAAAACAAACACAAAAAAGTGTAACATAATTATGTTTTCTGTATGTTTTTGTATTTTACTGTAGGTTATGCAAATATTACTGTAGGTACTATGTATTCTAAATAGGTATTTACTTTCCATAGCTAGTTAGCTATAATAGCCCGCAGGCAACTCCCCGACCCCGAAGTATATGTCAGCCAGTGTCAGGATAACTGCTTTTTCGACAGCGCGATTTTGATGTGAGTGTGGCTTTTATATAGGTACCTAAATTAAATAAAAAAAATGTTAGTTTGTAAATTGTTTATTGATTGTTTGTGTTCAATAGCGGTTTGAAATATTCTCTTAGTACTTAGAAAGTTATTAACAACAGGCATTGTGTCACTGCAGGGACAAGCACAAACGTCTATCAAAATAGTAACGTATATAAACGGAATACTAACAGCATAGACTTCCTTACAGAAGTCCAAAGAACACGTCTAGGCAAGGTAAGTAATTAGAAGAAAACTACAATTTAGAGATCGATTGTAAATCAAATTCGCAGTACAGACACAATTAGCGAAATATGAATAAAATTTTTATTTATTTTATGATAGATAACGCTAGTTGAAAACTAAACACTGTATGGGAATGGCATCACTGAACGAGTCAGGTGATCAGTCCAAACAAATAAAAGGCGCGATTGTAGAAAGAAATTCGTTACTTGGTCGGGGCTTGACCTGTTTATGCTATTCATAACGAAGGCTATAAATATGTAGGTATAACTTAGAAACTAAATCCTATGTGTACTTATCTGTATTCATAACCCAATATCTAAGGTAGGTTATTCTGTAATAAAAGTAAAGTAAAGTAAAGTTACAGCCTATATTCGTCCCACTGCTGGGCTCAGGCCTCCCCTCATTTCTGAGAAGGTTTAGGGCAAGGAAGTGTCCGCCGCGCTGCCCAAATGCGTGTTGACGAACTTCACATGTCTTCGAAATATTTTTTTCTTATTCCTCAGACATGCAGGTTTCCTCACGATGTTTTCCTTCACCGCCGAGCACGTGGTAAATCAGCACTTAAAATTGCAATTAACAATTTCATTGGTGCCGGCGGAGATCGAACCCGGGTTACTCGCGTTCTGTTATATTTACAGCGAGCGTTAACCACTGAGCTACCACGGCTCTGTAATAAATTAAATCTAATCCAAAATATAGGTACTATAATACCATAGCAAAGCTACTACTATTTTTTTAGTAGTAGCTTATATAGTAGTATAGTAAATTATATATAAAAAAAATATGAGTATGTCTGAGGTAAGGTTAAATATAAACAAATATTTTGCCAAGTGCGAATCGGACTTCCGAGCTTCCGAGATTACAAGATTTAAATACCTATACATATTACTATCGATCAAAAAAGCCAAAAATACACGTTTCTTTTTCTAGTAGAAAATCCTTTAATTTCAACAATAGGTATATTAGGATATGAGATTCCTATACGTAAGCACGATTATCGAAAATCTAAAAATTACCTATTCTAATTCAATTAATAGATAATTTTAAGATTTTCGATAATCGTGCTTATCTATGAGATGTTTTCGTTAGTTAGCAAATTAAAGTAGTTAAGTACCTAATGTGCTATCTGTATCGAAAGTTCATTATTATGTACCAACTTGTTTTCAATTTTAACTAAATGTGCTTCAACAAACTTATGGGAACATTTTAGCAGCTATATTCATCCCGGCTTCAGCAATGGACACGAACAAAAGGAAGCAATTTTTCTAAATAAAGATGTAGATATGTAGGTATTACAACCATAAATAGATAGCAGCGGCTAACCTAGTGAGCATGTGTGAGTGCGCGCTGCGCCCCCCTCCGTCCGTCCCACTGATCGGGGAAATAATTTGTAGCGAAAGGCAAGATGTTTTATAACAAAAACGGGCGCGCAAAATTTTATAAACAGACCTTTGGTAGTCTGGATGTCACGAAAAATCTATTGAATGTATCTGTTTAAAATAAAATTATTTGCAGTTTTGAACAACTAATCTATCCCTGTATGGTAACTGTTTTGCAATTTTCGTTCTTCTTATGGTATTTATTTCCGCCCAAAGATGTGTTAAAAATAGTGTTGAAATTCGGAATTTTCGACGCTTATAACTTTTAAATATACTCTTTTTTTTACTTTTTTGTTTCCATACAGGGCTAGATAATGATGAGACCAATAGAAATCATTTTTTATTTTGAACGTACACCATCAAACAGTGGAGTTATCGCCAGACTACGTTTGTATGGAAGAATAAGCGACTAGTGTACCCTTAAAAGTTTATTTGTGTTATATTTAGGATTTAAAAACCCCAATATAAGTTATTTGTCATCTAATCTGCAACAACAGAAATAACACTAATGTTACTTTAATTTGAATTACGCGTATAACTGAAACATTTATAACACATTACAAAATGTATTTTGCAACGTATAATAACAAATATACCTACCAACTCAAAATTCTTTATTTATTTTTTTGTATTAAATAAAGAGTTTTGATTCGATAGTATTTAGTACTATTATTTTCCCAATAATCGCGAAGTCAAAATTATTTTACGGCATGTCTATTACCTAATTAAGCATTTCTTTAAAAAAATGACACGTTGATACATAAAGGTTCGCCACCCCTGCTCTAGGCCATACTGTGAATAAGCACTGGGTGGACACCAGTGTGCAATCGTCACGTCAAGCTTTCTTAATAGGCCTAACCACTTGAGTAAAAGGGCCTTCAGGCAAGGAGAGACGACAAGTAGTGTCCCATGTTGGAAGCCAAGAGGGTTTCGTGGAAGATGCTCTACTTGTGGCGGCGCTGTCGTCGCGCCGCAAGCATAACACACCGAAGCCTAAATCACGCTATCAAAATTCCGAATCATAAACAGTATATATAGAACTTCTCCGAACTATCACACGGAGTGTCGGCCGCTCCCCGGGCAGAACACCTTGCCCGGCGGGAGATCTCCCTTTTTCCTTCCACGGCCACAGTGGTGACCATCCGACGAGATCTGAACACGCAACCAACAACCTTCGGAAACTTCAAGCTTCATCATCGTCATACCACACCCATTCGCTCCCGAGCAGATATCGTCTGCAGTCTTCATATCCTGCAAGCCAGCTAGCTTCACAAGGTTCATCGTAGCACTGGAATAATAATGCTTCCTGTTTCTTCAAGTTACACTGCGCTATACAGTGTTCGGCATGGCTCTGAGCATTACTGCTCGCCTCTGCTTCACGGCACTCTCGCAGATTGCTTGCCTTCTTCTAGACTCACCGCAGACTACAAGGCAATCCACTGACACTTGCACATTCGTCGGCAACGAGGCTGCACTATCGACCTCCGGTCTGAGCAGGGGGGTGAAGTGGCAGCGCTGTCGTCGCGCCGCAAGCAAAACATACCGAAGCCTAAATCACGCTATCAAAATTCCGAATCATAAACAGTATATATACCTAGAACATCTCCGAACTATCACACGGAGCGTTGGCCGCTCTCCAGGCACAACACCTTGCCCGGCGGGAGATCTCCCCTTTTCCTTCCACGGCCACATACTAATATTAGAAGTGAAAAAGAGGCTAGATTTTATATATTACCACAAGGAATTCCGATCAATAAGAAAATTAGTTAAAAAATATTCTCCCGAAATTTAAAAAAAAAAACGCAGTTCTTGTAATAGATAATGCTCCATATCACACCAGGAAACTGAAATCGTTACATAATTCTAGTTGGTAAAAAGGGCAAATTCAAGCCCGGCTAATATCAAAAAACATTTCCTAAGAAGAGTTAATATTAAAACCCGAATTAATTGAAATTGGCCGAATGCACAAAAAAGCCTATGAATGGTATGTCGTCAAGGATATTGCTGCTGAACAGTGTGTCACTATTTTGCGACTGCTCCTTACTTTTTTTATTTTTTGTATTTGGCTTCTACTCTGTTCACGTTACACCCTATTTTTTTCTAGACGGTAAAAAAGGTCATCCAGTATATATAAACCTTATTAATACCTACACATTTTTTCAGGATAACTTATAATAAAAATATGGATTTTATTAACGCCAATTCGCGATACTGGCACATCACTATTTAAGAATTGCAAAAAAACTGGCAACCCACGTTACGTCAGTTTAGTCTCAGAGATAAAAAACAGACTAATAAATTTTCTCAGTTAAACAGGATGTATGTAGCGTAAAATTTACTTACTTGAAACGATTAATGCAGTCTTAAGATCAAATCCTGCTTTCCTTTTTTCAAAAATGTGATGGAAGTGAGCTGTAATAAAATTTTAAAAAATATTGTTAACTATAAATTGAAATCTAAGAGTATTTTTTGTTTCTTTCCAATACTACTATATAAGGTATAAAACTCAGTGTCAGACTTGCATGATAAACAAAGTTATATAAGTTTTTCAGAGTGGTGCCCACTCAAAATAAACACTTTCCAGTTATAAGCTTATCCTAACAAAAACTTAGATAATTGAAACTTTGCTAATACTTGACAAAGATGATGATTATGAGGTCTGCATTCTAATTTTAACCAAGGTAAATACTATTAAATGTTAAAACAAATACATCTGGTATGCAATGAAACTAACTCACCAATTCCGAAAAGCAAAGGACCAACAAATACAGCAGTAAATGGTTCAAGGCATTGCAATAACAAAGGCATCATACAAGCTCGAAATACCCACTCCTCACTAAGAGGTGCCATAAAATGATTCCGCACCCATGTCAGGTCCTTCCAACTTGACACCCAGTAGGTTGGTTCTAAAATACGATGATACAAGAGGAAATATATAGATAGCACTATGTTACTATTTACAAATTATATATTATTTAGTTTACTAAGAAAAATTATTCAAACTTTTATATGTATAATATGTGCTAGAGACCAGAGATTCCATTTAGGTATAGGAAATTATTTTCTAAATAAAAATAAAAACGTGTGTAAATTATGTCAAAGAAGCTACGTATTTCTATAACTGGACTACAAGAAACTATCTATCCATGCATCCGTTACAGCCTATAAGTCTACTGCTGAATTTAGGCCTCACCCATAGGTTGCCTCATTGGGGCGATTTTGCCAATGGTTGCCATGTTTGACAGCTTTATACTTATGAGGAAAATAATGCTACCCATCTTCTGTTTCAGTCCTCCTTTGTCGTCTCTGATCACATCCACTGGACGATAAACGGTTGTGGATATTCCTACACCACACCACTACACTGTACTACTAGTAATAAGTAAATGTCCTAAAATATTTTTAAGTACCATACCATCTATAGAAATAAATAAAATTAGTGTCTGTAATGTCAAAATAACTTTAACTTTTTCCTGAATGCATATGAAAATATATACAGTATTTATAACAAAAAACATTTTTTTATTTTTGTCTGTCTGTCTATCTGCCTGTTTATTCCGGATAATCCCCGAAATAAATTTAGTTAAAGTTACCTCATTTCTGAGACGGTTCTTAGGGCAAGGAAGTATCCGCCGCGTTGCCCCAATGCGTGTTGGCGAACTTCACATGTCTTCGAAATATTTTTTTTGCCGTTGCCTGGACGACGCCAGGGCGCATTTGGAACTGGCGCTGAACGCGACATTGCAGGCCGCTAGCCGAACGCGGGGCGCAAGACCTAATTTGGTGCAAGACCACCTAGCAGCCCCCCGCATCCATCATCCCCACAAGAAGGCTTGGTGTCGGCTGTGTCTTGTCGGATTCAGCAAGCGACATCCGCCGCTGGTGGAGCACGCCGCATGCGTTGGTCGCAAATAATGAACGCTAACGCATTGCGGACGTACTTTAGGGCAAAAGGGGAAGAAACTGGAAGGTTGGTGTATCGGGCTCTGATGCATCGCCTTTTTGCAGAGCTGGAGCCATCCCTTACCGGCACTGAGCAAAACCTTTCAACCGAGTTCGGTCTGCAAGGTTTTGCTCCCAAGTTCCAACACATTTGGTGACTGCGAACTCGAACGACTACGACGTGAAGCTGTTTCCTCAATGGATGAAAATGCGACGCCACTAATTGCGCAGCAACCTGCATACGTGAATGCCGCCGTGGATATTCCAGTTGTATTTGATTCATACGATGATGGAATAGTCTCCCACGAACTAGAGAAAATGAGGAGCATATTGGAAGAGGCGATGTCGGAATTGCACAATACGCCTCTCGAAAATCGACCGCGACTTCCTCGCATAACCCTAAAGCAAGCGAAATCGGGCTGTCGTGTGGGTTCTTAACCCAATGCTGGGGACCTATTTAGAAGCCAGCCGGGAATTTTGCAAGACGGACTCAATTCCTCAATTTCCCAAGGCTGAACAGGCTACTAAACAAAGTAGCACCATCCCAGTCTAGAGAAAAAGAATTCAGGACCGTATAGCAAAGGCAAGGGCTCTCATCGGCAGACTGACAAACTTCATGTCGGAATAATAGCTGTGAGTGGTGTGCACCGTTAGAATGGCATTTGCTGGGACAAATATCAGTTTGTCCCAGCCGGACATCACGCTGAAACTAACGGAAACTGAAGCAAAGTATCGCTGCTTGGGAGAAGCGGATTCGGCGATATACCGAGAGGTTAAGGCGGTTCAACCAGAATCGTCTCTTCCAGAGTGATCAGAAGTGGCTCTATAAATCATTGGAGCGACCAAAGGGATGTGGAGCGGGCCCTGTACCAGGTCAGGCAGACACTGTTGCCTATGGTCAGAGCTCGTAAACCACAGCGAGGGCCCTTGGAAATTATAACTAGCCAGAGTGCGAGTGTTACGCCTATGGACCCCGTCACCATAACGCCGCAAAACGTGGCTGAGGCGGTCCGTATGTCCCTGAACTGGAAAAGTCCGGAACTCGAAGGCCTGCTTCACTACTGGCTGAAGGGGTTCGTAGTGTGTCACGCTGTGCTCGCCCGACAGTTTCAAGAGGCTCTCGACCAGAAGTTCCTCTCTAGCTTTTTCACTACTGGGGCCACTCACTTGGTTCCTAAAGATCAGGATACCACAGACCCGAGCAAATACCGCCCCATTACGTGTCTACCCACCATATAAAAGACAATGACATCCATTTTGAGCGCGAAAATCACTCGTCATCTGGAGCTAAATGAGGTGATGTCACGCGCTCAAAATGGATGTCGGGGCGGTGGTCGTGGAAGAAAGGAACCACTCATTAACGCGGTCATTGGCAAAGTGGTTCAGCGCAACCGGCGAAACTTCTCCGCTGCCTGGATATACTACGAGGGCGGCACTGAAAATTTCGGGAATAAAGGAAGCGACACAACATTACTTACTATTTAAAAATGTATTTATTGATTTTCGAAGTATTCTCCGCAAAATTTGACATATTTTTTCCATACGATGGAACCAATCATTGAAGCAACCATTCCATTCGGAAGTTGGGGTCTCCAAAATGGCCGTTTTGTAGGCGTCCACAGCTTCTTCAGGTAATGAAAATCTCTGTCCACGCAATTTATTCTTTATTTTAGGGAAAGGATAGAAATCATTAGGGCTTAGGTCGGGGCTGTACGGCGGATGGTCTAATAATTCTATGTTTTCTTGCTCTAAAAACTCTTTTGTTCTGTGTGCGGGGTGAGAACTCGCATTGTCGTGATGAAGGATGATGCGGCGGTTGCAGTTCTCTTTACGGAGTTCAGAAACGACCTGTGGCAAACAAATGCTAGCATACCATTCTGCATTAACCGTTCTTTGTCCCTCAAGAGGAATAGTCGTAACATGGCCGGTTTTGGAGACAAACGTGGCCACCATTTTTTTTGCAACAATCCGTGAACGAACAATTTTTGTTGGCTTTAACTCATTTTCGAACACCCAAACTCGTGACTGGTTTTTTGTTTCGGGTTCGTACGCGTATATCCAGGATTCGTCACCTGATACGATGTTGTATACAGCATTTGAGGATCCTGCGTGGAATCTTTCGAGAGTTCTGACGCACCAAGTAACGCGAGCCGCTTTTTGCTCTTCACAGAGCGAATGCGGTATCCATCGGGAAAACAACTTTTTTACACCTAATTGTTCATGCAAGATTATTTGTATTTCACTCATGCCAATCTCTAAAGTTGCCTGAATTTCGTGGTATGTCACATGTCGATCTTCCTCAATCAGCTTACGCACAGCATCAACGTTTTCTTGGGTGACTGCAGTTTTTGGACGACCTTGACGGGGATCATCACTGAGCTTGACACGTCCACGTTGAAATTCAGCAAACCAGCGATAAATTGTCGTTTTGGATGGGGCTTCATCACATAATGCAGAAATCAACCGGTCAACACACTGTTTTTGTGTTAAACCACTTCGAAAGTCATAATAAATCATCGCTCTTGAATTTTCTCGAGTCAATTCCATTTTCTCAACGACTAAACAAGTTTGACAAAACCTTATGACAAGACCGAGAATCTTTTTTTAAATAAATAAATGGTATTAGATCTTTAAAACCAAGGAGTTTTCAATTAAAAAGATTTTAATATGACAGGAACAGCGGAAATATTCCATTCCCGATACTTTTGTGCAGCCTAGGTACAGAAAGACATTCGACTTGTTACCTCATACATGGCTCAAGGTTGATAGATATAAAGGCAAGATTGACTGTACAGTTAGAGACTTCCTCGTGCAGTGTATGGGGCAGTGGAGTACGATCCTTTGTCATCTGGGCGAGCGGATGATGGCTGCGGAGAACCACATAAGGATAAGAAGTGGTATCTTCCAGGGCGATTGTCTGAGTCCAATCTGGTTCTGCCTCTCTCTGAACCCTCAGTACCTTACTAGAGGGCTCCCGTAGGAGGTTTTAGCTTCGGAAAGGAGAGACAAAAGTGACCCATCTTTTCTATATGGATGATCTCAAATTGTTCGCTTCCAGTCGCTCCCATCTTATGGAATTACTGAACATAACTTGTGAATTCAGCAATTCCATCAGAATGAAGCTGGGAACGGATAAGTGTGCGCTCCTTTATGTCGAAAGGGATAGGGTTGCCAACTCTGAGGGCATAGACTTACCTATCAACATAAGTACCCTTTCCGGGGCAGAAACACACCGATACATGGATATGTCACAGAATATAGGTATCAATGAGGCGGACATGTAACAGTCAGTTTGCGATGTGTTTTATGTACGCTTGGAAGTAAAATTTCTTACCAGCCTTTTGTCGGGCGTTAAGGAGGAATATAACCTCAATGGCAAGATCCTCCGTTATACCGAAAATATTGCAGCTTTAATTTTGAAATAAATATATGGTAAAGTTGAGGATTAATGTTAAGTACTATGTTAGATGAAAACATGATTCCGTAATATTTTCTCGATAGAAAAAAATCCAAGTTACCTCCAAACTGAACAATAAACCACTGTTATTCATAAAATACTATACTATAAATAAGATCATGAAACTTTGCATACTAACTGAACTGTATAAAGCAGGGCTTATATTATTTTTTTTAATTACCATTATTTTCACTGTAAAAAGAAATTATCTAAACTACGGGCGTCTTAAAGCTTGGAACCGGGTGGCAGGAAACAAGCTTCAGGACGCCGATAGTTTAGATAGTTTCTTTTTACAGTAAAAATAATGGTAATTTAAAAAAAATATAAAAAATAAACCTTAACCTTAACTTAACATTAATCCTCAACTTTACCAAATATTTATTTCAAAATTAATGCTGCAATATTTTCGGTATAACGGAGGATCTTGCTAAGCCATTTGAGGTTATATTTCCCCTTAATAAGACACACGCATATAACGTTTGGGTCATGCCTCTTCTCATGTATACCTTTGGCATACTCAGATAGTTTCAGATCTAACTGAACGCTTTGAATAGAAAAGTTTGCACTGTTAAGACGTCCCACAGGATGCATTACCCGAGATCGTCAGTAATGAGGCTGTACTTGCCGTGGAAACATGATGAGCGCGGCTTTTAAAGCGCTCTCACGCTCTCTCGCGAAGTGTGGAGCCTCCGTAATTATTTCTTGGCGAGATTGGATGATCCATTTTACAGGGACATTATTTCGTGTGATATAGGGCTAACCCCTCTATCCTTAGCCAACGAGCAATGGCAAGACTTAGCAGTACAGTGAATTTTCGACCGGGAGACCGTATGGCAGGAGGAGCTTCACGGAAGGTTCTACAAGGCTCTTCATGAGTCTTTCGTAGACACAGTTGCCTCCCTCAACTGGCTACGCTTTGGTGACTTCTTCGGGAAACTGAGGGTTTTATCTGCGCAATACAGGATCAGGTTATTAAGACCAACAACTATTAGAGATACATCCTAAAGGATGGCGCCGTCGACATCTGTCGAGCTTGTCGCCAGTCTGCTGAGTCACTTAGGTATGTCATGGGTTGGCTATAGATATCCGGTACTGGGTTTTAATAATGTTTTTAGTCTAGGGGGCTTGTTAGGGTTAAACTTGAGCCTATTACACTGCTTTTAGATGTCAGAAATGCGTTTTGAATTAATTACGATAAAAATCAATTTCACTAAAAATTGCTTATAACGAAACGCAAATACTTATGTCAATTTGTTCTAGTATTATAAAGTAGACGTCTGGTACTTGATTTTTCAATTATGTTTTCAATTGAGGAGGTTTGTCAGTGTTAAGCTCGTACCTTTTACAGTTTTTGGTTTTTAGAAATACCTTTTGAATTAATTACGACAAAAATAAATTTCACTAATAATTGCATATACCGAAACGCAAATATGTCAATTTGTTTTTTTAACACAGATACACCCATAAAAAAGTGAACCACTCAGAGTCAGACCCAGACAATCCATTTGTGGCTGAAGACGGGACTCATATACAACAAATTGAGTCTCAGTGGAGAGCAGTCAAGATGGTTTTCAGAAAACAAAATTATAACAATTCACATTACATAGTTTCATTTACCACTATCACAGCGGAGTTTACCCGACTTTAAAGAAAAGATTGGTCGAATCTGTTCTAAATTCGAAATAGCACACCCCTTCTCCATGTAGTCTTGTCTGCCCTACCCCTGGAGTTTTTGTTAAGCCGTAGGCGCGGAGGGAGAGGAGCCTTCGCCCGCAATTTACTAGGTAAGGGCGAAGGGGCTCTCTTCCCGCAACACCAAAGCTGTTGCTGAAGTAACTTTAGGTTAATATTCCTATGTAAGCGGGATTATGATTTTACAAAAAATTCATTACTCATAAACTATACATTTCCGCAAGAGGGAAAGGGTAACTTCCCCTAAACCCTCACCCTCCCCCAATCCCCTCACCACCCCTTGATGTCTATAGTTTTACCCATGTCATCTCTAGTTGTTTGGTGCCTTCTAACCCTGAGTACTTCCACAGGGACAACCCAGTAGTCAGGATTTTACACCAGGAACCCGCTCTGAAATACGGTCTCATTGATTAAAAACTGCCTTATTATAAGTATTTTCTGGAAGCTGTGCTCGAAAATGATTGCCCCAGGCTCTACCGAGACCTGATCATCATCACAGATTATTCTTGCAAATAAGCCTGATATTGTGCAGATGGACCAGGCAGTCTAGGATATTTTTGGACGACATTACAATTCTAAATGACGAGAACCTCGTGAAAGCCGAAACAGATATGTAAACAAAATATCTGGACCTGGCTCACGAGGCGACCGACATGTGGGGTTGTCTGTAGACTAAAATTATTCCTGTAGTTGCCTCTCCAAACGGGCTTATCCCAGTCAGCCTCTCATAGAATACCAGTGTAAGATAGCAGTTTAATGATACTTTGTATCATATGGTAGGTATACAGAACTGGAAACCTTTTTACTGATAACAAGGCTATCTTAGTTTTGGGAAACAACAACAAAAAAGTTTAGATGCAGGTGTAGAAGGAAGTAGATACCTATCATATAGTGGACTGGCTTATTTATCAGATTTATTCTATATAAAAAGTGCTTACCTTAATTGAAATAATATTAAATAAATAAATAATGACTGAGCCTAGATGTCAGTTCGATGGCCCAAGGTCACCCCCCAAGATGTTTGATAACAAAAATAAATTATGATTCATGAAGCAAATAGAATGGCTTGAGTAACATTCATTCTTGCCTACGTACCAAATTTGCACTTATATACAGAGCTGCAGAAACCTCCCGGAGTAACACTAATACTAACATAATCTAGAGCAAATGTCACCAGTGTAAAATCAGCTAAGGGTATAATGTTATCATGCAAAACATTTTTGATCTACAGTATTTCTTTTAACATGTTAACTGTCCCCATACAGAATTTTTCGATAACCCCAGAAGTCCAAATCAGTTTTTGTAATATTTTTAATCAAATTGATTCAAAATGACTAATTTTGGATAGTTAGCCCACATAAACAAGCAAATAACTAATTATCCAGTTTTTCTTAGCTTTTGACCATGTACTGTATTCAATACACGGACTTATCGAGTTAAATAGTGTGTAAACTTAAAGCGTACCTTGGACTTGTGAAGGTCTAGTTTGAAAAAAAAACTAAATATTGAGGCAAATGCCATTCGAAAGCCTGTCTTCATCATCCTCAAGTACACTGTCAGGATCAAATAGGAGCTCACATTTTTAAAACCCATTGTCAATGTTAGGGGTATATATATATATATACGAAGATGTTACTTTGGGTGTTTCTTAAAATTGCAAGAACAAAAGCCAAAAGAGTGAGAATGCACTGCAAAAACTCATTGTCTCCAATGTTTTTTTGAAGTTTCTTAGAAAGCTATTTTCTTATTTTTTTAAATTACGCACACATTAAAAAAAAGGAAATGTTTTACATTTTTTTACTTATTGATGCTCTGTTAACAAGTCCTGACAAATAGAGCAAACTAACTCAGAAGTCCATGAATTAGAGCTCAAAAGGAGAGGCAGAGGCGCGAATACCGTTTATGGTACACAGATGTGACAAACCCAAGCGGAATGTACTGTGTTAGATGAACTGGACAGCTTTACATGTTAAAGGTAATGGAAATTATTTTATTACAGGTTTATTCTATTTCTCATGACTTGTTATTTATAAAAAAAGATATTTGAATTTATGTTAATATAGCACGTATATAGTACCTGTATAAATCTTCCAAGTTCCTGATAGAAACTGCATAGTTAAAGGACCCAAGAAAAGAATTGCTGTCAAAATAAGTGATGTAATAGAAGCAGCTATAAGTCCTGGTAGTCTAAGTCCTAATTGTTGGAACACATCACCTCTGTTCAATGTTTCCTCTTTGAGAAAGAACCGCATAAAGAAAGGTGCTAAGAACATTATACAGGAAACACTAAAGAATCTTCTTTTGATTGTAGATGGATGGTCCCTGTAAAACAAAAAAACCAACAGCATATGTGCTTAATACACCTTCATACTATTATACAATAATAGCGTTGTATTTAGAAAAAAATATTACCTGCTTAACTCTGTCCTCCAAACATATAAACTTGCTACATAAGCGAAAGTTAAAAATATACAAGCGAAAATAGAGTAAGCGCAGGCATTATAATCAAGTGCTAATTTTAACAATTTAGAAAATATGTTATTGAAACGAATGAAAATTGCCATAATGATAATATAAATTTAAAAATATTCGGACATGAATATTGATCTGCTTTTCTGTTTTTGACGGTTTTTGACATAGATTTTTGACAAGTGGTTGTTGCTTTTATTATTCGCTCGAGCGAGCAGGAAAAGGAACTAAGCCATACAGCCTGTCTTTTTTATTTGAATATATAAAATTTTGAAGTGTAAAGGCCGGAACCACGTCTTATTTTTTCTTCTTTCCATCTCTTCAAAATCCAAAATATAGACTAATGATCGGCGTGACCTCGAGTGAGAAAGGACGATAACAAATTTTTAGGTTATACAATAATCTTTATGACTTTTAAACACATTTAGATAAAAAATTTTAATTGTTCTAAGAACTGAACTGAACAAGATTCACCAATCTTAAGCTCACAAAACACTTTTTTTCTCACTTAAACCAACTTGTAAGCTCCTTAAATCGCTACGCTGTCAAAGTTGTTTAGCAAAGTGCAAAGAGTTTGCTAAACAAAAAAAAAACCGGCACGGAGAAAGAGACAAACAATCACACCGCTCTGTCTCATTTCTATGCAAGACGTAAGCATAAATCTATCTTTTTCGTGTGCGAATGCGAAAGAAGGTGTCAATTTGTCTATAGGTTTCTCTGTCTACGATATTTTCAAAAACCATAAAGGCTAAAGTCAAGTCTTCTTTATATTATAATCTTTATAAGTTTCAATCCATATAGATTTATCAGTCCAATATTTACAAAAAAGAGGAATACCATATTTCATATTTCTTTTACATTATTATGAATAAAATTGCAAAGTGTTAAATATGTCCTAGTATTCCTAAGAACATCTTGCAGGGCACGCGGGACGCTTTCTGAGTTTTTCATAAATTTGTATAAGTTTTTCAATGAGCAGCAATCTTTCTATGGCGTACGCTGGGCAGTTAAATATTATATGTTCTGCAGTCTCATCTGCTTCTGTACACAGAACTTGCATGTTGCAGATGCTACTAATCTCATCCTGGAAAGATGAGCGTTCAGTCGATAGTGGCCAAATCTAAGTGTACACATTATTGTACAAAATTTTCTGCTATAATATCTTGTTGCGAGAAAACCAAGGAATACTTAATTCCGAATTAATTGATGCATACCAACGACCTTTCCTTGTCTCTAAAACAGCATTCTATTGCATTTTCCATTCTTCTTTTAACTGTTGCTTTACAATTGAATATAAATCTGTATGTGGTATTGCAACACCGGTTATTCTGTCAATATCAGCTGTGACCAGAAGGTTAGAGAATGCTGTGACTATACTTTTAGCCTTTGAGTATTCAACCAACTGGAATTGCCATGCGCGTTAATTCCTAAACAAAAATTCTGTTAACATCAGGGGGGCGCAAGAAAACACACAACTGTATACTTAACTACAAATGCAAAATTAAATCGTGTCACTATAAACGCACACTACAACATTTGTGTTTGTGTTCATCGCGTTTACGCATACCATCAAATTGTAGGTACACGTGTCGATACACTGCACAGAACACTATTACTCCCTCCGATTGGAGTAATAGTGTCCTGTGATTACTCCTACCGGAGATACACTGATAGCGCTGGCTGAATGCGTAAGCAACGTAAGGCGTGGACTATGTCGATATTTTTTATCGATAAACAAATCACCATAGTCCGCAAAAGTTTTTATTTGATTATAAGTATAGATAAATAATACCAAGGTGTTGTTTGAAATTATTTTTTTAAAGTATTTAAAAATGATCTTCGGGAAAAAGCTTATAAATTATTGAAAAAAACTATTATTTTGCTACAGGTTTATTTTACATTATGCAGGGTAAAATTTAAAATATTTAACAAATCGAAATAGAAGGTTTAGTTAACTTATTTTAAAAATCAGATTTATGAAAAAAAATCCTATCAGTTTATCATCTTAGATGGTCTTAACCAAGTATTTGTTTTTATTATAAGGCTACAATCATAAAACCGCTATTTATAAAAAGTAAAACTTAGACTAAAGAGAGTAACCCTGACAAAAAATTATATTGTATATTAGTGATACATGAAATGAAAATTAAACAATTGACGGAGTACTATGCAAGTTCTAAAAGACCTTTGGCTGCTAGCATGGTATTCCGTCAATTGCTTAATTTTCAATTCATCCATGACCAAGGTACAATAATTTTTTTATCAGGGTTACTCTCCGCTCTCAAGAGTAAACCCTGGTCGGCGATCGATGGTAGCGTATCACTTAGTCAATGTCCGTGGTGCAGGCAAACATTTTCCAAAAGTTTTACGTACATAGCGATAGGCTTTTGGTGAGTAATAGTTAAGTGTTTTAAGAATTAAACTCAAGGGTAATAGGAAAACTGATTTATTGGATTCGTGTCGTCCACAGTTCACATTCTGAGGTAAATATTATACCAACGTAGCTGGTACTTTTCAACTTAAATTGTGGTACAGAATTATTATGAATAATTTAAATAAAACTATTTTAGCGAATAATTTATCTCGTGACCAGAAGCCCCCGCTACTCCAACAGGAATGACGCACCGACCGCTGGCTCAATCTCAAAGCAAAAACGTTTCCCCTATCACTTTTCTTAACTTGCTTCTGATTGGTGTGTGTGGGAATTGTCAGTTTCAAACCAACCAATCAGAGACAAGCAGATTTACTACCAATTTAACCGGAAATATGTATTCATTTTAGCAACTTATTATTGAAAAATAGATTGAATCATGACATTCGGCCATCCGCCGGAGTGCAACTTCTGGTGCACACTCAATATTAACATACATATATGGTATTTAATAATTATCTAGCAATTAAGGTCTACAATCGATTAACCAAATGCAGAAATATAAAATAAAATTACTCGATCACCAAATAGCACATACAACCAATTTTTGTTTTTCTGGTGGCAGGCAAATCATTGCAGTTTGAACCTTGATGTTAACGTCACCGTGATTTTACGTTGTTATCGTGACTTTACACACAGAAAAAAATTAAATAATACAATCTTATAACACGTGGTCATTTAATCATGACATTCGGTCTAGATCCCTAGCTTTAGATTTTTTTTAAATCATGGCTTGCTTCGCTGCAACTTGGCCAGATGTATGTCGTCTTGATCACTTTCAGCAGATTCGGTACTAGAAAGCTCGTCTGTTTGTGACTCTTTAAGATTTTGGTTTATCCAAGGCCTCATTCTGTCAGCAGCAACGACGCTCTCAAATGACTTTTTCTTTTTATTTAATCCCGGAATCTTATATCTGTCGTTTCCTAGCGTTTTAACTATAATATACGGGCCAGTACATTTTGATAAAAGTTTGGTACTTTTACCTTTGTTGTAAAAATTGGTTCTCGTTATTTTAACCAAATTGCCCCTTTATAAACTACGGCGGGAGCCCGTCCAGCATCATATCGATTTTTTTGTTTGCCTTGATCAATTCTGATATTGGTACTGATCTCGTTTCTCAACTCTCTCAAATTCTCAAGTTTAGTATAAATATTGAGTTTGTTAGAAATACTATCACTGAGTTTGATACCGAACAAGGCTTCCGACGGAGTCTTTTGGGTTGAGCTATTGATAGTGGTGTTAAAGCTCCATTGTATTTTTCCCGTATACGTGTCCCAGTCACGTTCGTCACTGCCTGCGTTATACTTAGTCAAAGTGTCTAGTATCGTCTGATTGCACCTTTTAGTTTGGCCGTTCGCTCTGGGACATGCGACGGCATTTAGAACATGTTTTATTCCGCGAGAATCACAAAATCTTTTAAACTCCTTGGAGGTAAATGATGTTCCTCGATCAGATATGATTCTGGACGGTATTCCAAAATCACAAACAATATTTTCAAGAACCTTGAGCGTACTTTTAGTTTTTGTGATTTTCACGGCCTTTACAAATACATATTTCGTAAAAGCATCCACGACAGTTAATATGTAAACATTCCCCTTCCTGTTCTTTACAAAGGGACCTAGATGATCTATATGGATTTCTCAATAGGAAACAAATAGCCCGTTTTTTGTTTAGCAGCGTTGTCCTTATTGTATGCACACTCTAAACATGACCCTACATATTTTTTTATAAGCCGGCGCATTTTAGGGAACCAGAATTGTGATTGAATTCGCTCAGTAGTCTTTGCTATTCCTAAATGACCTATATCGTCATGATTGAACCGACATATTTGGAAACGTGCACTTCGGGGAATTACGAGACGCAATTTGTCATCAACTCTCCTGTAAATTTTGTGATCCTTAACAACATAATTTTTCTTTGTGTCCTTTAACTCCTCATCGTAATCAGGATTGAGAACTTTTGATATTCGTGAAATTTCAGGGTCATTCATTTGTAAAGTAAACAACCAACCGTCCGTCTCTATGCGGTAAACTGTGCAAAGGGAATCCTCTGTAGGATCAATCGACCTTGAATTTCGACTCAAAGCGTCTACATGAGCCATTTGAGTACTCGGACGGTATTTGATGTTGAATGAAAATTCAATAATTTGCAGCCACCACCTAGCTATGCGTGGTATAAGGTCGCGTTTAGTAAGAGTTGTCCTAAGAGCATGACAATCAGTAACTACTTTAAAGAAGATACCTAAAAGGTACACTCGGAATTTCTTCAAGAGCAGACTGTACCTAGCGTCTCCAGCTCATACGAATGTAAGTGGCTCCAGAGACGACGTATCTTTCTTAATTCTATTAACGTTACGAATATCTCTTTCGACAAAAGAATTAGCCCTAGCGAAACATGTTAATATCAAATGTAAAAATTGACATCGTTTTACGTTCACCCTCAGGATTCGGATTTTTTTATCTATCTGTGCGAATAGTTAATGGATCAAGTTTGCAGCTTACAAAATCATGACCTACTCTATGGCACTCTGGCACTTGGTAATGGGTTTGGGACATTTGTAAAATGAATGTCCTTTTTCCTTATACGAGTTAAAACAGGTGATATCAGATAAAGATGTAGCAAAGTTAACGAGCTTATTCCCGGAAGTGCTATCCAATCACTTTT